ATAGACTATAACCCTCCTCAAGTAGAGTAATAGCCTTTGCCCTTTGTTCAATAGTTAATTGTTTTCGGGGCATTTGTGATATAGAAATTTTTTAAAAAAATACACTTTTTTATTTTGTCTGCAAAACGCAAAAAATAATGCACCGGCGATCATCAATTAATCACGATATCAAAAAAAGTTTTTTTATTAATCAGTGATAAAATTTAACCATTGATCGATCATTTAACGCATAATATAAATGCTAAATTTTATCCCGATCGAATCTGATTTGCTTGTATAACGCCGATTTAAAGATTGACGATGCTGATGGTGCGTTCTTTAGTGAAGCCGCTATAAATCCAATGATTTTTCAAGCACTGGAACAAAAATGGGGACCATTCACAATAGATTTTTTTGCCAACAGTTGGAACACCCAACTGCCACGTTACTTTGCACGTGACCCAGATCCTCTTGCGATGGCAGTAGATGCGTTAAACCAAAAATGACATCAAGAGACAACTCTATGCATGATAATTCCATATTGGCAAACAACTCCATGGTTCCCGTATTGATGAATATGTTGATAGACATCCCAATTCTGCTTCCATCACGCAACTTGATAGATTAAATATCAGTGAATACAATAGATCCACGTCACAATCCAAGATGGTAACTATTCGCCTGTCTAGTATCAGGACTAGGTTACAAGCAAAGAGTTTTTCATCAGAAGTTATCGAGACAATTCAGAATGCAACAAACAAGTCATCCAATAACACGTGGGGTCATCAATCAACAAATGGCATATTTGGTGTGAGTCACAGAGTGTGGATCCCGTTTATTATACTATGGATAATATTATAAGATTCTTAAATGAGATGTACAATCAGAAGAAATCGTATAACTCAATTGCAGCATATAGATCTGCTATAAGCGAAACACATATACAGATTGATGGTCATGATGTGGGAAGACATCCTGACATTGCAAAACTTATGATGGCAATTTGGAAACTGAACACCCCCTATCAACTTCAGATGATATTATCGATATCATCCCAGCGATAGATTTTATTGCTAGTATGATTACTAATTCTGATATATCTATTTTGGAATTATCCCAGAAATCAGTCTTTTTAATTGCACTGGGGTCAGCTTGTCACCCTAGTGACTTGCAACGTATTAAAGTTTCATCATTACAGAAATCAAAGACAGGGATCTCCTTCGAAATTCACAACCCAAAAGAGACAAATATATTAATTGCACACGGAAGCAACAAATGTAGAATTAAAAGAATCTTTATTGATTACTATGAAGATATTGAGTTATGTCCAGCATCAGCAACATTAAAATTATTAGAATGAACGCGAGAATGGAGAACCCCTCTAGCCCAACAAGAAGCACTATTTTTGACTACAACTGTCCCCCACCGCCCAACCACAGTGGACACTATCTCGCATTGGTTAAAATATATATTATCACAAGCAGACCCTAATGCTAAAGCTAAGGATGTGAGATTAATTTCCGACTTTTTGGCCCAGGATGCCGGTGCAGACATGTCCACTATTTTGGCTTTAGGAAATTGATCTAGCTATTCAGTTTATCAAAGATTTTATCAAAGAGAAATAAAACGCATGTTGGAACGTAATAAGGTGTCATCACTTATTTTAGATCAGGCATAATCGTCGCATGGAGTTTATTCTCCAAAATCTACATGATATTCTATATCAGAGCGAGTGAAATATATTTCAACCAATGGTCGAACATATGTGAAGATCATTGGGAAATGTATGAACGAGCGAAGATGTAGAATATTATGCATTTTACCTCCCATTATTTCTCCTCCCTAACATATACTATTAGCATCTAGCAAAATAACAACGGCCTAAACGAAGTAAACAAGCGCTTATATAGTAACAATTGGGTAATTTGTGTTACATAATATATAATTGTCAATCTCTAAAATTGGTGGCTGCTATTAATAAAATGGCTGTACTACATGATATTCTATATCTTCGCTCGTTCATGCATTTCCCAATGATCTTCACATACATTCTACCATTGGTTGAATTATACAGTATATATCATTTTAAATGTTTTGTGTTGATAATATAATTTTATAGGTCTTTATTTATAGCTTTTTATGAAAAAGATTTTATGCTGGCAAATTTAGTTCGAGCCAAACCAATCAAAATTTATTATTTTTCTGAATTTATCCTAAGACTGGTCGGCAGTATTTTTTTTTTTTTTAAAAATAAATCCGCTCATATACAGTGTATCTAAAAATAAACCTTTGACAACTCTATTAACATTATCCGAGAGAAATGCACAAAGCAAGCCCAATAATCAGAATCGTTTTCTGGGGACTTTTTCTACATCAGCATTGACACTATTGGCAATCTTTTCCAAAAAAACATTGTTTTATTATTCAAAATATTGATGCCAAGATGCCAATTGCGTCAGGTGGGCTATCACGTGTGTAACCAGACATGTATAAACAATTACACAAGGAGTTGCAAATTTGAGATACAGAATCTATTTTAAGTGCATAAATTTATCGAAGCATGCATTAAGACTAAATTCTTTCTTTAACTGTTATCTCCAATTCAAAAAATATTTTCAAATGTCGGAGGTAATATTACTTTAGAGTTTTATTTCGCAATCCTAATTTAGGATTCCGAGAATTCACGAAATTCAACCTCAGGTCATAGTTTGGGAAGGAATAAAATGGTCAAAGGGTATATTCTCACCTTTGTGTTGTAGTTCAGGTAATAAATGGAGTCAAAACATGTTTTTTCACTTGACCTTCTATTTTAATGTACTAGTTTCTTTCGAACAGTTTCTTGGAGAATAGCAAATAGAAGAATTGAATACAAATCCGGATTCTGTGGTGGTTTAGGATCTATGGGATGTCCTTTTTGGAACTTTCTCTGCTAATCTCTTTAAAAACGAAGTCTAATTTGTTCCAATTGATTTTCACTACAGAATCTTCATCGAACACCCCCAAAAAATTTCAAAGTCGAAAGCACTTCACAGGAGTTGTGTGCAACGTGTGACCTTTCGCAGATTCATTTGTGTAACTCTTGTAACATATGCAATAACATCTCATTTAGGCTATTAATCAATTTACTGTATAATTTAGGGATCCCGAGATTTTTGTCATAGAAATTTCAACTTTTGGCGCAAAAGATATTTATGAAAAATTAAGAGACATCTGGATAAGCCTTAGAAATGTTGCTTAATCGAACAAGCATATAAAATATTCTGTAATTAATTGGAACGCGGAAATGAACGAGAGTAGGTTCTACCTCATATATTTAACTAGATTTAATGATGTCAATATTAATTTAGAATTATCAAAACTCTTATCCTCAATATGATACGTTGTTCGTATTCACCTGTGACTACGATTCTATATAAAAGGTTACCGAAACTGAGAGTCGATCTTTGCCTGATAAATATTAACAATTGACTTCCAAAAATACTATTCTTCTACAATGAAACATAAGTAGCACAATTCCATATTTCATCTAACAAAAATCCTGTATATAAAGATTTTAAATACAACATTTTCATATATTAAAGATTTACAGTACAATAACAATCAGTATTTATTATTCTCACGACTACTTCTATTTTTAATTAATGACGCAATTAGCGTCGTATTTTAGATACGATAATTCGTATTACGTTCCAATTGCATTGCGATGGCGATGTTAGCCCGTTAAAATGGCAAAGACAATTCAATGTTCTAATTATAGCAGATAATGAATTTTGGTATTATTTAATACAAAAATGATGCAATTGAATTTAATTTTTGTGAACAACAAATAAACAAATTCATAATTATAACTTGAATATATTGTAGACAATGATGATTTATTTATATAATTTTATATTTTATCTTTACGTAATATTTGTTGTTGTTGTTGTTGTTTTTTTTTTTTTTTTTGAGAATCAAAAATATAATTAAAAAAATGAAATTAAATCAAATTCTTTATACTTAAATTTTAGATACCTTGAATTTTTTCATAAAATTTCAGAATATTACATTAAAAAAAATGATTTCGAAATAATATATGCGCGTGAAAATACAAGTGTTTCCAAGGAAGTTTTATCGTTACCATTACACTATCCCTTTGTCATTCATGAAATAATAATCATTTGAATATGTTATACGTGAACGAGCGCATTTTGTAGCACACAGTAAATATATATAAAGACATCCTAGTGAATAATTTCTGAAGCTCATTATCTCTTACTTCAGTAAGAATAATATCGTTATAAGGATAAAAGAAAATAAAAGAAAGAAAAAAAATAAGAAAAATAAGAAAAAAGAAAAAAAAAGAAACCAAAAAAAATTTTTTCTTTTTTTCTTTTTCAGCTATACAGTAAATTTCGAAAAAAATGTTTTCTCTCGGTGATTGTGGGGAGGATTCCTCGCAATTACAATACACTGAACCTTCTGTTTCAAAACACTACAAGTCAAGGGGGGAAATCTCTTCCGATGTATATTATACATGTAAGCACAATAAAAAAAATTGCGATGGCAATAGTTTTTCAAAGAAAAATTGTAGCCGCTGTCTTCAACACGAAGAGGAATGCCACTACCCAGACCCTGGCCGCATGAAATCTTCTAGAACTACTGATGTCCCACGCACATTATTCGAAAGATTGAAAGCTGTAGAAGGACAAATGTTAAAATTGGAGGAAGAAATTTCATCTGTGAAGAAAATGATGAAATTTAACTTCATCAATGAACGAATCCTAAGCATCGTTATGCGTCGTTCGACAACAGAAGAAGAGGTTCTAAAATTAAGAAGGTTATATCGCTTAATTAACGATAACCAGGTTGACCCGGAGTTTATCGAAAATTGGTCTGAAAATCTCATGAGCTGGTTAAAATCACTTGAATTAAGTTATGAAAAAGGAACGGAAAAATGTTCCTTCAATTGTCAGCTCTGGGAGAACATCAGATTGCTGTTAGAACTTTATGAAGAAAGTTTGCCATCCGCTGACATCGTGTCTACCTCCCCCCGCCTCTATTTTCTACGGATACTTTTGAAATTCTTTCCGACTTTTCACCCGACTCCAGAATTCCTCTACTCTTTGAAACAAATCTTTTTGATTTCCCTCTCGAATTCGGTTCCACAGATTGCGGTATGGAAATGTTACAAAATCCCTCGGTTTTTTTGTTACAAAATGATGATTTCCAATATACAACAACAAACGATTCAATTGTTTGTGCGGAAGAAACTGTGCCCAATAAGTTCAGTTCAGAAGATAATAAAAAATTAAAGAAAATCAAGCGAGATGCTAAAAATTTAAAAAGAAACAAAAGAAAAAAAAACAAGCAAAGTTCTACCTCGAGAAGAAAAAAAAATGAATCCATCCCTAAAACCAGGGTAATGTATCCTCCTCGTAAGCATATAACTCACATCTTCAATCTAAAAGATGATGCGGAAGAAACTTCTGATATACATGAATATCAAAATTTAAAACCTGCAAACGACATGATTCCTCTTTGGACTAATGTGATTTTCGACAATGCAAATAACTTTAATTTTGACCTTTCTTCACAAAGCATCAACTTCAATACTCCCTACTATCCATTTAGCTCTACATATTTTTGAAAATGAATTTTATTAATCCGTAAATGATTCAATTATGCAAAATCATATGTTTTTTGGCTTTTCATTTTATTATTCTTAAAAAAAAAAAAAAAAAAAAAAAATTCTATCTTATTAAATTTACATTATAGTATAGACTTTGTAAGTCTAATTACAATAACTTTATGCAATCATATGTCAAAACTTAGATTGTCGTTTTTTTTTATTTTTCGTTCGATTGATTTCTGGTCGAACGATCAAAGTATAGAAAAAGCATTATTAATCTAAGTGTGCTAAGCAATAAACATATATGAAAAAATTTTTATGATTAAAATAGGAAATCCTAACTTGAAGATCGAAATTTGCATGAGATCGACATAACAATTACACAAAATTTGACTTTGGTTGTCTTGACCTCATGACACAGATCCGTGTTTTAGCGTAACGTCGAACATATCGAAAGATGCAAATAAGGAAGTGTTCTAATTTGCCTATTTAGTTATTATTCCATTTTGGAATGTTTTATTTTTGAAAAAATAAAAATTTAAACCTATTTCTCAATTCATAGTTATACTATTTAATTTTTGATTTTCAAAGAAAAAAAAAGAAAGGTAACAAAAAATAAATATTAACTTTGATTATTTTTATATAAATTGAATTCTTTTTTATTTAAATAATATGATTTTCTAAAAAAAAAAATAAAATAAAGTAAAAATAGTTTGCGAGTTAAATTAAATTTTAGAATTAAATAATGCATAATTTTTTATTACTTCTTCAAACTATCTTTTTTTTAAAACAATATTCATTAAAATTTATTAACTTTATATATATATATATATATATATATATTAAGAGCTGGCGAAGTCATGCCATATAGTTTTTATTTAATCATTAATATCCTCTTATGTACACAAATTCAATTGCGAGAAA